CCAAAAATATTCTTAAAAATTCAAATTGGGCGGTCCGAAAAAGCTAGCAGCAAAGGTCCTTACAAAAATATTCATAAATAATCCAAAATTGAAATTTTACTAGTTCCTTGAAAAATTTATTCAAAATATCCACTTTTCTTGGTCTTTGGAAAATATATTAAAAAAATAATTAAAAAAAAAACATATTCTCATAAATATCTTAAAAAATCCTTAAAAAAATCCACGTTTAGTTCTTTAAAAATAATTTTAAAACAAACATTTCTACATCTGTTTGTCATTTAAAAATATTTTTAATAAATCCACCTTATCTGAAAACATCCACGATAACTGGTATGTTGCTCCTTTAAAAAAATAAATGTAAAATCCATGATTTTTTCCATCCTCTCTAAATGGTAGACCGTGTCTCTAAATCATAAAAATGTACCATTGAACCCATCACAACAGCGATTATACGTCCATTCTCTATTATATGACACATTTGGTTGGTCATTCCTCTTTGCTGGAAGTGATCATTTTTTCCTTCCATTCCACATGAATCTCTGTCCCTGAATGAGATAATAACGGGGACTCAAAGTCCATTTGAATGTTATTACGATGTTAAGACAACACTCCTCCACCTTCCCTTTCCCCCTTTTGGTGGTTAATATTCTACTATTTATCAGCTCAAAGGCAATCAGAAGCTTTTCGAATGAAAGTAGAATTCCATTAAATGTTCCACAGAAAAAAAAAAAAAAGAAAAAATGGGGGCTTGTTTCTTCTCCACAACTTAAGATTGCCGACTATCACAATTCACAAATAACAACAACAACAATGACACCAACAATAACAATAACAACAAATATGCAATGCCGCTTATTGATTAAAATTAATTGTTTCTTTCATTTATTTGAAAATCAAAAAAAAAAAAAAATAAAAAAAAAACTGTCACAACAAATCTGTTAATGCCTGTCTGGCAGGGAATGCCAGAGAGTGGAAAAGAACAGCAGAGAGACGCAGTAGACAATTATGATATCAGAATAATAAATGGGTATGTATGTGTGAATGTTATTGCGAGAAAGTTTGATTTCAAATAAGGCCCCATTTGAGTAGGGTAACAAGTCGTAACAATGGCCAATATTATAAAATATTTACATGGAAATGTGGTCTTATTAGGTACTACTAGAGATTGAATTGTGGATCTTTTAAAGGCCATTTTTGTTGAAAAAATCATGGAATGTTTTCCTAAGGACACGTGGGTCAAAAATCGTATATTCTTTAAAAAATAACTTATAATAATTTTAAACGTGACTATTTAACAAAAAGAACCAGCAAACCACGATTCTGGCTACATAGGGTTTATATCACTTGATACGGCCAAAACGTGCGCATTAACATAAAGGTTTTAGTCCATAGGTCCCTTTGAACGAAATCTGTTAGGACATTTGAAGTCGATCTAAGGGTGTCCGTCCGCGTGTCTGGCTGTTGCGCACGATAACTCTCGAAGGGTGTATCCGATTCAAATCAAACTTGGTACATGGTAATATTATTATCAAAATTAAATCGAGTTCGGAGATGCCCAATATCGCTTCACTCCTTCTGTTACCTTCCCCACCAAGAATCGACATTTTCACAGAAAATAGTTTTTCCTATTAAGAAAGGATCATCTAAGTTTGTGCAAACCGTCCAAATCCTAATATTTTTTTCAATGTCAGGTCAGGTACCAAGTACCTCCCCCACAAAGGGTAAAAATTTTTAATAATTAGAACTCTTAAAAAGGCGAAATAAGAATCCAATTGTCTTCGAATTTCGCATATCTCAATTTTTCTACCCACACAAGATCTGGTGTGAAGATTGAATATATCGGTCCACTACTTCTGGTACCTCCCCCACAAACGGGTCAACATTTTGAATGACTAAAATGTGAAATAAACAGTCGATTCTTTTCAACTCGACGTACCTTAACATATCTATCAGCACAAGATTAGGTATGAAGAGCGGATAGAACGGACCGCTCCGAATGGTAAGTTCCCCACAACGGGTCAACATTTTTGAATAACTTTTTTGTTGTTGCAAAATGGTCAGGCTTAACCCCTTTATTGTTGTTTTTATAAAAGCAACGTTTGTTTATTAGTGGAGAACGATGGTAATGTTTACCAGGGGGTAAGGCAGGGAATACCTAGGTTTCGGAAAGAGCCACCAATCGTCATCAGTAACCTTTGTTTTTTGTCTGGAATATTCTCCCCAGAAGTTATTTTAAAAATAATTTCTATGACAAAAACATTTTTTACCCAAGTGACGAGATCGTAAGCTCAATAGAAGAGGAACCAAAGAAGTAAGTAAAACTAAAATTCTTTGGGAAAATCTTCTAAATCTTACAACTGCACTTATAAACATTTACACCTTTCTCCACTTGTTATGCTATCTCGTAACATCCCAATATTTTTATCAAGAAAAGATTTGGTATGATTATGAAATATATCGGTCCAACCTTTCTGGTACCTCCCCCACAAAGGAGTAAAAATTTTGAATAACCATAATGCTCATAAAATGCGAAATACACTTATGTTTCTTTCTAAACTCCACACATCCAAATATTTCTAGTAACACAAGATCTGCTGTAAAGATGATAGATATCGGTGCACCCCTTCTGGTACCTCCCCCACAAAGAGGATCAACATTTTAAATAACAACGAGGCTTTTAAAAGGCGAAATGAGTATTCGATTATATTCAAACTCGGCACATCTCAATATTTCTATCAATATAATGTTTGGGGTGAAGATGAAATATATCGGTCTACTCCTTCTGGTACCTTCCCCACAAAGGAGTCAAAATTTTGAATAAACAAAATGCTCATAAAATGCGAAATAAGCATCTAATTCTTTCTAAACTCCACACATCTGAATATTTCTAGAAACACAAGATCTGGTGTGGAAATGGTTAATGTCGGTCAACTCCTTCTGGTGCCTCCCCCACAAAAGGGGTCAAAATTTGGAATAACTACGATGCTTATAAAGGGCGAAATGAGTATTCGATTACTTTCAAAATCGGCACATCTCAATATTTCTATCAATATAATGTGAGGTGTGAAGATGGTAGATATAGACCCAATCCATCTGGTATCTCCCCCACAACGGTTCAAAATTTTTGCATAATTTTAGCTTTTATAAAAAGGAAAATAAGTATCCGATTCTCTTCAAATTCACACATTTAAAGGTTTCTATATCAGTTGTGAAGATGGTTGATATCAACCCACCTCTTCTGGTACCTCTCCCACAGAGGTCATAATTTTTAATACTTATATCTCTAAGAATGTTTTTCAACTTCGTGTTTTTTATTTGGAGGGAATACTAAAATATTTTTTTTATTTTGGGAAAATTGTTACTCCAAGGACATACAGGCCTCTTAACTTTAATTTTCTAAGAATATATTTTCAAAACCAGTAAAGAAAAATCAAAAGTCGGGCGGGGCCGTCTATATGATATCCTACACTAATATGCATATTTAGTAGAGCTCCCGTTACAAAAGAATTTATTTGAAGTAGATAATACCACCTAACAACATTTGGCTTTAGAGCAGTGACAGTTTGGTTTCAGAGGGAACTAATCTATGGGAGGCCGAGTTCCACTAAATGGAAACGTAAGTTCCGAAATCTACTCCATTTTAGCTGAAATTAGCCATTATTGGCACAATAAACCTGAAATCGGTTGGGTCATATATCCAAATATTTGCCGATCTCGATCAAATCTGGTATAGGTATTTCCGATCTCTATAAGATACTGGTACCAAAAATCATTGTTGTCATGCATATTATGAATGTGAGGTTCTTAAAGGCCAAATCGGATGAAACATATATATGAGAGCTATAGCTATATCTGAACCGATTTTCACCAACTTTGATGTAATTGCTTCTAGGCCGAATTCGGTCGGATGTGCCAGAATTCAGGTCATTTGGACTGATATTGGCCATTTTGTGCACAATTAACCCGAAATCGGATGAAGTTATATATGGGACCTACATATATCCAAATCTCAACCGATCTTGACACAATTTGGCAGAGGTATTTCCGAGCTCTATAAGATATCTGATACCAAATATCATTCTTATGGAGTGCATATTACGAATGTGAGGGACTTGAAACCCCAATTCGGATGAAACATATATATGGGAGCTATAGCTATACCTGAACCGATTTTCACCAAGTTTGATGTAATTGCTTCTAGGCTGAATTCGGTCGGATGTGCCAGAATTCAGGTCCTTTGGACTGATATTGGCCATTTCGTACACAATTAACCCGAAATCGGTGGAAGATATATATGGGAGCTGAAACGACCTTGATACAATTTGGCAGAAGTATTTCTGGGCTGTATCTGATATCTGGTAACAAATATCATTCTTGTCGAATGCATATTACGAATGTGAGGGACTTAAACACCAAATCGGATGTAACATATTTATCGGAGCTTGAGTATATCTGAATCGATTTTCGCCAAAACTGATGTACTTGCTTCTAGACTGAATTTGGTCGGATGTGCCAAAATTCAGGTCATTTGGACTGATATTGGCCATTTGGTGCAAAATTAATCTCCTACATCGGTTGAAGATATATATGGAAGCTATATATAAATTTAAACCGATTCTCACCAATTTCAATAGGGCCAAACAAATATTTGGAAAATTTTATCTCAATCGGATAATAAAGGCGACCCCAATTTTGTTCACAAGAAAATATGGACAGACGGACTGACATGCATAAATCGACTCAGAAAGTGATTCTACGAAGATCCTCAAAACTAACTATGGGTCTATCCCGCTTCCTTCCCCATGTTAGAAAAAAATGCACAAAGACATAATACCCTTACCACTATGAGGGTATAATTATAAGAGCTCGATTTTTGGGCATAGTTTGTGTAAAATCAAACAGATTTTTCCAGAGGCCTACTGTTAATTTAATAATTTCCTTGAGTCCTTTTTAAATACAAGTCCTACCAACCCCTTGGATAACTCCTTTGAAAAAAACAATTTATATTAAAATTATTATTTTTTTTATTAAAAACATTTCTTACACAGCTAGGTTAAAAAATTAAGTAACAAGTTGTTGTTTTTGTTTCAAAGCTTAGAGCTTAAGTACAAGAAATTGACTGGCAATTTGTGTGGATCTCTTAGAAAATATAAGGCATATTATTTGACTTAATAATCAGACTTAGGATCTAGACTAGACCTAGACAGCTATGAATTAAGGTTAAGTAGTTATAAGTTAATATTGGAATAAAGCAAAAGAAAAACTAGATCACAAAATAACACAGGAATATCCTGCAGACTTCCGAGAGTGAGAAAAAAACACTCTCCGACTTTCGATATTTCAATCTACTCCTTGAAAAAGCCAATTAGATTGACATTTTTTCTCCTCTCTCTCTCTCTCTCTCTCTCTCAATGGTTTTAAATGCACTGAGTTGGCACTTGAGGCTCTCTTTGGGGGATCTCTTTCCCCAATCATATTCTGCCTCTCTAACGCAATTTCAATTCCATTGATGTCAGCGACTTCTTCCTCTCATTCACCTCAAAACGTTCCATAATTTTCGCCACAATATGCGAGGGTGGAGCATCAGGATTCCCGGTTAGACCCCGATAACCCAGCACACTGTGGTCGGCCAAGGTATGGGCCAATTGTATACGCTTAATAAATGCCTCGGTGTCTATACCTCGCACCTGTGAGGGCTTCAGAAATCTCTTGGGTATCCGCGATAGAATATCATCCGGATTAACTGGACCAAAACCCAAATTAATAAGTATTGCCTCGGGATCAGGTTTTCGCGCCTCCAGCAGACTATCAACACTGGAGTAACGACTCGAATCGGAATGTATTGAATTGTCCCGTTTCAAGATGTTGCGGTGAAACTGAAAGTGATTAGGGGTGGTGGTCGCATTGGGGGTAAAACTGTGTGGCAATTCGGGTATGGAATCAAATGAGCCATCCGATCTCAGGCGTCTCTCGTGACCGATAATGACACTGGAATTGGCAGTGCCCGATGAAGAATTTAGGGATGAAGTCAACGACGAGGAAGAGGGGGTCTTGTCCAAGGGATTGTGATGCTGTGTGCCTGTCAAGATGCCCTTGATCTGCAGGGAACTCTCACTCTGTTGTTTGCTGCGGAAGCGAACCTGTTTCTTTTTCTGATTGGTTATATTCGAAGCAATGGGTAGACTGAGATCTCTATCACTGGCCGCCGGACTGTAGCCTTCATCTTCTTCATCGTCCTCTTCCTCCTCCAAATCGGCGGCATATTCTGTCTCATCACCACTGTAGACAGTGGATTTTTGCCGCTGCAGACGTTTTTTGCGCAATGATGTTGTTGTACTGTTTGTGGTGATGGTTGTGGTTGTTGTTACTGTGGCCGGACTGGAATCAGGTGTTGAAGGTATGGCATTGCTCTCCATACTCTTGGAATATTTCTGTGGCTTAACACGCAAAGGCTGCTGCTCTACGTTTCTAACACTTCTCTTTGAAATTTCTTTGTCCTCAGTTTGGGGTAGATTCTCCTTGAATTCGGAACAATTTTGATTATGTTCCATGGTTGAGGGGTTTTTATTTGGATGGATTATCCAATGGATTGACAAGGTTTATTCTGTAAAATAAAATTAGGTTTGGAGTTGGTTTTAAAAATTTCGTTTCGAATTAATGTTGGAATTATGCAAACATCGGAGGAATTGGCGGGATTTTTAACACCACGTTGAGTCTGAACCGGATTTGATTTTTTATCTAGCGGATGCAAAAAGATTTAGTTGCATTGAAAATTTTCGAAATTTTCTGGAAACATTGAACGCTGTTTTAAATTTCTATTATTCTTGTCTCTCCTCTCCACATAGGAGGGCTTATCAAGCTCTTATAAGCATAGGATAGCTTTTCTCGATTTTTACAGTATTTTTTAAGGTATATAGTTCTTGAATAGAACAGCTTCATTAGATCTGTCCCATATATTGAACGTCTATAAAAAGCTCACATAGCCCTTCTATACATAAAAGCTGTTCTTTGTGTTCTAACCCATAAAAGAGCCTCAATATGTCTTTCATAATGAGGAGAACTTCTACAGCTTGTCTATGTATTGAAACCTCTCTTCTACATTCAAAAGAGAGCATCTACAGTTTTTATACATAGAGAAATTATAAAACCTCACCCTTTTAGTTTCTCTATAGATTAGAGTCATAAAAGCTCTTTCGTAAATGGAAGAGGGATTTATGATTTACACGGTTATTATCTCCTTTAGAGCTTCGCAAGCTCATATATATTTTATACAGCTCTCTTATTCTCTACGTAAAAAGATGCTATAGTCCAGACACACAGAAAAATATAAGATATTATCTGAAAAAAAAGCTTCAACTTCAAGAACTTCTATAGAGCTTCGTTGACTATTCTTTACGAAGAAGAGCTTCTCTGGTTGTTCTAATCGTAGAAAAGCATCACCAGCTCTTCTATTCGTAGAAAAGCTTCAGAAGCTCTTGTATTCATACAGAAGCTTTCAATGCTCATCTGTTCGAAGAAGAGCTTTACTAGTCCATATATTCTTTAAAAAGACATTACAAAAACGTTCATTCGTAAAAAAAGCTTGCAAAGCTCTTCTTTTCGTAGATGAGTTTTAATAGCTTTTATATTCGCTTCATAACATAACTAGCTCTCCAATTCATAGATGAGCTTTATTAGCTCTTCTATTCGTAGAAGAGTTTACAATACTCTTACGTTCGTAGAAGAGCTTTACTAGTCCATATATTCCTTAAAAAGGCATCACAAGATCTTCTATTCATAAAAAGCTTGCAAAGCTCTTCTCTTCGTAGAAGAGTCTCACTAGCTTTTCTATTCGCTTCTTAATATAACTAGCTCTTCTATTCACAGCGTAGCTTCATTACGTCTTCTATTCGTAGAGGAGCTTTACTACTTTACTGCGCAGAAGAGCTATACAAGCTCTTCTGTTCGTAAAAGAGCCTTACAGCTCTTCTATTCGCAAAAGAGCTTTATCAGCTCTTCTATTACTAGAAGATATTATCTAGGTATTCTATGTTTAGAAGAGCTTCACAATTTTTTATTTGCTTTTAATTTCCTTTAAAGCTCTTTTGTTCGTAAAGAAAACTTTACAAGCTATTCTATTAGTGAAAGATCTTCATTAGATCTTCTGTCCGTAGAAGAGCTTCACAAGTTCTTGTATTGGCAGAAAAGCTTCATTAGCTTATCATTCTTAAAAAATGCAAAGTCATAGACCTCTATTCATAAAAGGGCTTACCTAGCCCCCCAATTTGTAGAAGAGATTTAACAGCTTCACAAAAAAGCTTCTAAATGCAGAAAGCTTCTTAAACTATTCTCTGCACAGAAAGATTAACATAGCTCATCTATAATTATAATAGTTTATATGGTCTTAATATACACAGAAAAGCTTCTGCAGCTTTTCTACACATAGAAGAACTTCCTATAAGTTATACATAAAAAAAAATTAAAGCACTTCATTGAATAGGAGCTCATCTTAAGCTTTTGAAGTTCATATATATTTGAAAGAGTTTTAAAACACTTCTATACATAGAATAGCTCTAAAACTTTTCTATGCTTAAAATAACCCTAAAACTCTTGTATAAATAGAATAGCTCTAAAGCTCTTGTATGCATAGACGTACTTTAAAGCGTCTCTATAACTAGAACAGTTTCTATGGCTTTTCTATATACATAAGAGCTCCAAAAACTCTTGTATGCATAGAAGAGCTTCTAAAGCTCTTTTTGGAAAGAAAAACTCTTATAAAGTCTTTCATACACAAAACATTTTCTAAAGCTCTTGTATGCGTAGAAAAAAGTATCTATAGCCCTTTTCTTCAAATGAAGAATAAAAGAGCTTTTGTAGCTGAAAAAAACTTTAGTTAAAGCTTCCAAATTGTTTTCTATGTAATTGGGATTATATACCTTGAATAGCTTTTATAACTCTTTTACTCATTGAAGAGCTTCAGTTGATCTTTCAGATATAGAGGAGCTTCCATAGATTTTCTATAGAGCTTTTTATATCTTCTACACATAAAACAGACCGCATATTGATGAAAGTGCTTCCTTACTTCTTTTACAAATATAAAGCTCTTTTGTATGACTTCATAATAGCTTTTTTTACATTTCTATACAAAGGAGAGCTTTTATGGATCTTCCACAAATAAAAGTTTATAGTGATGCAAATGCTTCCTTAATTCTTCTACAAATATAAAGATCTTCTATGTGCTTTCATAATAGCTTCTTCGACATTCCTATACAAAGGAGAGCTTTACTATATCTTCCATACAGAAAAGCTGTTATAGTCTATAATGAAAGTGTTTCCTTATATAATATATAATAGCTGCTTTGACTTTTCTATACAAAGGAAAGCTTTCATAGATAAAAGCTTCTTTTGTTAAAAAATGCTTCCTTACTCCTTCCACAAATATACAGCTCTTCTATATACCTTCATAATAGCTGCTTTGACTTTCCTATACAAAGGAAAGCTTTCATAGATCTTCCACACATAAAAGCTTCTTTTGTTAAAAATGCTTCCTTACTCTTTCTACAAATATAAAGCTCTTGTATATGCCTTCATAATGGCTTATATTACATTTCTATACAAAGAAGATCTTTCACAGATCTTTTATACAGAAAAGCTTTTTTTGCTTTACTATACATAGTAAAAGTTGCATAGCTTTTTCTCTTTACATATAATCTCACCATATCTCTTTTAAACATAGAGCACCTCTCATAGCTCACCTGCGCTTAGACCGAATGGAGTTGAAGCAAATAATTACCTAAACAATTAACGTCTTGACATTTCTTGGAATTTTGTCCGCACACCTAATGTTTAGGAAACGAAACAACAAATACAACAAGATCTAACCAATTAGCATCCAATCACGTTAATGAACCTTTTTTTTCGAGCTAAATCATTAGTTATTGATTTCATACTTTATTTTCTACACGTGACGTCTCTCTCTATCGACGTCTGAGTTCTTGGAAAAATCCCCAGACATAGATGAGGGAGAAAATAAATTCGGAAAAAAAAAACTAATATTTGTAAACAATAACTAAAAAATAGATACAAAAAACAACAACAAACAAATGCCACTTGAACTTGTAAATAACAATTGATGTTTGTTGTTGTTTTTTTATACCCTCCACCATAGCATGGAGGGTATATTAATTTTTCCATTCCGATTGTAACACCACGAAATATACATTTTAGACTCCACAAAGTATACTCAAATTTCGTGTTTGATGTTTCAAATGGGTACATCAGTTTATGACACAAAATTGTCGATGAAGGTCCTGGACCTTCGTATAGCCTCTAAATATCGGTACCTCCCTACTTTCGGTATTTTGGTGAACTAAGCGACAATATTCACCGGAATTGTCTCAAATTTGATATTTGAAGTTCGAAATGTATACTACAGCCTATGACGGAAAATTGTCTATACAGGTCCAAGTCTTCGTATAGCCCTCATGCCACCGTACCTCCCTATATCCGGTATTTTTATGATTTAAACGACATTATTCATTGAAATTGTTTCATATCTCGTATTTGAAGTTCGAAATGGATACTACAGCCTATGACAGAAAATTGTCGGTGCAGGTCCGCGTCTTCGTATAGCCCTTATATAACGGTACCTCCCTATATCCGGCATTTTTTATGATTTTAACGACATTATTCATCGAAATTGTTTAATATCTCGTATTTGAAGTTCCTAATGGGTACATCAGTCTATGACACAAAAATGTCGATGAAGGTCCAGGTCAACACATAGCCTCTAAATATCGGTACCTCCCTATATCGGGTATTTTGATGATTTTAGCGACATTATCTACCGGAATTGTTTCATATCTCGTATTTGATGTTCCAAATGGGTACTACAGCCTATGACAAAAAATTGTCTATGCAGGTCCAGGTCATCACATAGCTTCTAAATATCGGTACCTCCCTATATTCGGTATTTTGATAATGTTAGATACATTATTTAACGAAATTCTTCCAAATTTCGTAGTTGAAGTTCCTAATAGCTACTACAGCCTATGACGGAAAATTGTCCATACAGATCCAGGTCTTCGTATAGCCCTCATGCCACCGTACCTCCCTATATCCGGCATTTTTATGATTTTAACGATATTATTCATCGGGATTGTTTTATATCTCGTATTTGAAGTTCCTAATGGGTACTACAGCCTATGACGGAAAATTGTCCATACATATCCAGGTCTTCGTATAGCCCTCATGCCACCGTACCTCCCTATATCCGGCATTTTTATGATTTTAACGATATTATTCATCGGGATTGTTTTATATCTCGTATTTGAAGTTCCTAATGGGTACTACAGCCTGTGACAGAAAATTGACAATACAAGTCCAGATCTTCGTATAGCCTTCATATCACCGTACCTCCCTATATCCGGCATTTTTATGATTTTAGCGTCAATATTCATCGGAATTGTTTCAAATTTCGTATTTGAAATTGGCGATGGGTACTACAACCTACGACTGAAAATTGTCCATACAGGTCCAGGTCTTCCTATAACCACTTTATAACGGTAGCTCCCGATATTCGGTATTTTGAAGATTTTAACGACATTATCTACCGGAATTGTTTCA